GCACCTTTACTCATTAAGCCAGCTTACTGGCCCAGTTTGTGAGTTTTTACCCTTATATCCAGGTATATTGTTCCCTGGGTCCCTGCCCATAGTTTAGTCAGTGTCTTCCATCAAACACACTCAACATGGACTCCTGGATCTCTCTCCTGTCACTCCCATGTCCCTTCCCAGGCAGCTCCATCTCTCTAGTCACCCTTGTCATAAATCTTGGTGGTGGCTTCAGGCCTCATACCCTGCCTCGCATACACCAAATTGTCCTCAAAGCCCCCCCTGGCTTTAGAACCTCATGGGATTCACTGCAGTCTGCCTGTGCTGGCCCTGGTCTGAGCCTCTCCTGCCCACGTCACCTGCTGCCTTGACCTCACTTCTACACCTGACGGTCGTGGCTCAGTCTGTTCAGAGTCAAACACGATCCACCGAAAGCCAGGTCAGCCCTTGACCCTAAACCCTCCAGTCCTTCCCTGCCTCTTAGGTCAGAGCCACAGCCCTTGAAGAAGCCTGCCTGCCTTCTGCCCTGCCCTGTCATTGGTCTTCCTTCCAAGGCCAGCCACATGTTTGTCTCCAGGCTGTGACCTTGTCCTTCTTTCCTCCTGGAATGCCCTTACCCCAGGCCATCATGTGGCCTTGGGATGCTTATTAGTTCTCCTCTGTGTTCCACCCTTCCTTTTCTCATGCAGCACTCAGCAGATTGTAGATTACCTGTTCATCTCCATCCTGTAAGCTCCGTGACAGCAAGGATGTTGTGTCTCCAGTGGGATCAAAGCTTGGACCTAGAGCGAAGCTTGGTGCTTGGGAGATGCCCATTATGGGCTACCTTTCCAAGTGGGAGAATAGGTAAATCAGTAGGTGACTCAGGCTGTGTGTGGTCCTGCCTGGACTCACATCCCATGTACATTTGGCACTGGCCAGGAGGGACTTGTTTGGTCTTCGTGGTCTTGTGGATAAAGAGCACTTGTTTGCATAAAGGTGATTTGAGTGCAGAGACATAGCAGCTTGCCTCTGTTGTTAGGTAACATGTCCTGGTAGCAAGTGGGTGCTTATAGTTACTGGGACATTAATAGACAAGCATCATTTGAGTTCAGCCATAGCCATTTCCCGAGATAATGAGACAGCTCGGAAAGTGCTTGTTTATTTTAAACCTTCCTTCTGTAGTAGAGTCAACTACAGTTGAGAATTACTTTTGGATAAAACCAAATTATTCTGTCCTCATTCTTTGTAGAGAAATGTATGCTTAAAAATTTTCTCATCCTTTTTATATCCAAAAGTTTAGAGGGCTTTTTGTTTGTTTGTTTTTAATGCCTCAGTTCAGGGGCTGGAGAGATGGCTCACAGGCTAAGAGCCCTTGCTGGCCTTGAAGATGACTCAGGTTCAGTTCCTAGCATACACAACCATCTGTAACTCCAGTTCCAGGGATCTTATGCCCCCTTCTGGACACTGCACACATGTGGTACACATTCAGGCATGCACATAAATACTCATGCATATAAGATAAAAATAAATAAATCTTTAAGAAAACAAAAAGCCCTTGGTTCAGAGGAATATCTTTGTGTAGCCACAACTGTCCCATCAATCACATATTTACTTGAGGAGTTTTCCTACACTCTGGCAGCCTCATGCCAACACAGTGATTTGTCACATAGAAGATCAAGGAGGTCCCATCCAGGGCCTGACCCCGTCCATTGCCGTCCTAGGCTGCTTCCCTGTTCTGCTCTAGGATAGACAGGAGGGTCTTAGCCCCCGCCTGGCAGGCTCAGTCAGGTTCTTGGACCTGGGGAGGGAGTAGGTATTGGGCCGTGCCCTTTGCTACAAAATCAGCAATTAAAAAAATGTCAATAGAGGCTCATGGAGAGCACCATGTGCATCACACTGACTGCTTTGAAACAGATGTGCTGTTGAGGAAGACCGCGACTACTCTCTGAAGGCTTGCTTTGTTTCTCTAACGGTGTTCTCTCTGTACGCCAGGCTCTGCCCTAAGAGGGTTTGACACATTGCTTGTCTTCTCCCTTCCCCCACGCTCCCTCTCCCTTCACTCCTCCTGTCTCCCATGCTCTGTGTTGGGTTTGTCCACCTCTGCTCCTCTCCAGACTACTTAACTCTCTTTGATCCATTCATCGCTTCTGAAATGTCTCGCAGTCCTTTTTTAAATCTTCATTCACAACACACTCCTGCAGTCTGTACTGATTTCTTCTGTCTTAGTCTTATGTTCGCTGTGCTCCTGGGAGCAGGTTGAGCCAGAAGCAGTGGACTACCACCACCTAAAACGTAAGGGCCACACATGGAGTGAATGGACACCAGTGGTACTAGGGTGGGGGGTGGGGGCTGGTATTCTCTCTTTTGGGGTCTTTGTCTTGTTCATAAAAGAATTTATAAGCAGTCTCAGAGGGACACTCTGGGATGCTTTTATTTTCTCAGGGAACAACAGCAGGGAGTGCTGAGTGGTGGAAGCTTAGCCAGCCTCTGTGAATGAACAGAGAGGAGATGTTTGACAGGAGTTGTCCGTGGCCTTTTGAGCAAAGTGGCTGAGGCTTAGGAAGAGCAGCAAAGCTGTTTTTGCAGAGTGACTCCGGGTAAAACAGCTCGAATGGGGTGAGGTGGGCAGCTTCCCATCTCCTTCCCTTCTTTGTTAAGATCTGTAACCTTTGGAGTTGGCTGGGTACCCAAGCGTGGTTTAGCATCCCAGACTAGGATGTGGTCCTGAGGCCAGAATCCTTGCACCTTATAGAAAACAAGTTACATGAAGGATGCATATGCACAGTGGGTACTCTAAGGACATACACTCAGAAGTACACACTGCATCTCTTGGACATATTACATATGATACCAGTGGCTGAATACGCCACTGTGGTATTACATGAATTTAGCCATTATTTTTATCAGTTTGTTTTAATTACATGGCCATGGGGATCAGAGTTTAGAATTGAATGGCATTATTAGAATCAGGCAGGATGAGAACAATGAGCCCCCTCCCCCCCAGGGAGATGTCCATCTCAGGGTATTTGTATAACTCTCAAGGACTTGAAGGATGCCTTGCAAGGCAGAAGTGACAGTAGGCCCTGTGTGCAGAGTAACCTGGGGGATTAGGCCACAGAGCAGTGATTTCCTAGGTAACTGTAAGAATTGGCTTTTAAGGGAGCCAAGAGAAATCCTTCCCTCTCAAGCACAGGGAATTGGAGAGCAGCCCTCATCTGACCTTTTCCCTGGAGCTTGAAGTCTCAAGGTCACAGCTGTGACTCTGAATCCAGAGTGAGATCTGGAAAGCAAACCCTTGTGCCCCGTGTGCATGCACTGAGGGTAGTGCCTCTGCTGTGGGCAGTGTGGCTGGTGGAAAATCCAATGTTGGAACCTTACTGCATGGAGCCTGAGCCTCTACCCATCATGACCAACTGGCTCTGGCTATCCAGTGAGGGTGATTACATGTGGTGTTTTTGGGGGCCTTTGAGAGGGATAATTTGGTGAGATTCCTGGCTCTCCCATAATGTAGAGCACACACTCTGCCTGTTGGTAAATGTAACCTCTGATTTATTAAAGTTTTAGAAAGTTAAATGATCATCTGAAAGCTGATACTGTGATGGGTGGAGTATGATGCAGTGAGGGGGTGGGGGTGTGATGCAGGGGTGGGGTGGGGTGTGATGCAGGGGTGGGGGGTGTAACACAGTGAGGGGTGGGGTGTGATGCAGGGGTGGGGTGTAACACAGTGAGGGTGGGGGGGGGGGGGGGGGGGGCGGGGGGGGGGTGGGGGGGGGGGGGGGGGGGGGGGGGGGGGGGGGGGGGGGGGGGGGGGGGGGGGGGGGGGGGGGGGGGGGGGGGGGGGGGGGGGGGGGGGGTGTAACACAGGGTGAGGTGGATGCAGGGGTGGGGGGTGTAACACAGTGAGGGTGGGGTGTGATGCAGGGGTGGGGTGGGGTGAACACAGTGAGGTGGGGGTGTGATGCAGGGGTGGGGTGTAACACAGTGAGGTGGGGTGTGATGCAGGGGTGGGGTGTAACACAGTGAGGGTGGGGTGGATGCCGGGGGGTGGGGTGGGGTGTGTGGGGGGTGGGGGGGGGTGGGGGGGGGGGGGGGGGGGGGGGGGGGGGGGGGGGGGGGGGGGGGGGGCGGGGGGGGGGGGGGGGGGGGGGGGGGGGGGGGGGGGGGGGGGGCGGGGGGGGGGGGGGGGGGGGGGGGGGGGGGGGGGGGGGGTGGGGTGTGATGCAGGGGTGGGGTGGGGTGTGATGCAGGGGTGGGGTGGGGTGTAACACAGTGAGGGTGAGGTGTGATGCAGGGGTGGGGTGTAACAGTGAGGGTGGGGTGTGATGCAGGGGTGGGGTGTAACACAGAGGGATGGAGTGTAACACACTACAGTTTTCTTATTTGGCTGATTTGGTTTTCCTCTACAAGTTAGCCATTCAAGTTAGAATTCTTACAAGACATAGGAGAAACGCTGTTATTTCTTGTAATATATGTAAAACAATTTCTCTTCTCTGTAGCCGACACCAGGCTCCTGGGTGGCTGGCATCAGTATGCCCAGCTTTAAGCATGGGGATGGCACACTGCCCTTCTCTGTCCGTGTCTCCCTCTTGCTGTTCGGCTTGGCTCCTCTTACACTTCTCACCCAAACCTTTAGTTTCTGCTCATCTCCCTTCCTCAGGAGTCCTCTGTTCTCTTTAATGTTCAGCCTTGGGCAACAGGCCCAAGGGATGCTGGGGGAGGTATGGGGGAGGTAGTCAGTCACCACCTGGCCATATCTGGAGTCCTTGCACTTCTGACCACAGGCCCTCCTGATAGGATGCATAAGTTGAACGAGGGCTGGCTCATTGGAGATTGTTTCAGGTATAGGGCCCTATTTTTATTTGCTTTTTAAAGCCACAGAGAAAGAAAGCCTTCATTTCTTCTCTCTTGCACCTTCTGCAGAAGGAAGCCCCTGAGTTGTTAGTGAGTTTTAGACATGGTAGAAACTTGAGGATTTTGCTGTCGTGAGTGACACCCCTCCGTTTAAAATGTCTACTTTTGTCTCGTCACAGCCCGATGATGATCATTACACAGAAGATCACTAGTCTGGCTTTCGAGATTCATGACGGTAAGAATCTGGAAGTTAATTCTTCATTACATAAACGAACCCTATTTTCATAATCTGTTGTTTGAGATACTACCCTAACTCTGAAAGGGAGGGAGGGAAAAAAAGGAAAGAGAGACAGTTTTTAAGATTATTAAAATGTGCTTTAACTCCAGCCCTGTGTATTCTCTTGATTTTTAATTCTGTTCAGAGATAAAAGCAAAAATAGTCATACGGCCCATGTAACAGACCCTTGGTCTAAGTCAAGTTTTATTCTTAATTTTGTTTGTCTTACAGTATATTGAAATTGTATTCCCAGCACTGGGGAGGCAGAGGCAGGTGGATGGATCTCTGTGAATTTGAGGCCAGCCTGGTCTACAGAGTGAGTTCCAGGACAGGCTCCAAAGCTATAGAGAAACCCTGTCTCAAAAAAACAAAAAAAAAACAAACAAAAAAAAGAAATTGTGTGCTGTTCCAACCCTATACCTTTGTGTTTCTACCCATATACACACATACACACACGTTTTCATAGACTTTTAGTATACACATGTACCTATTTTATATATTTAATAAGTGGTTATAGGAAATGCCAGCAATCAAGACTCCTCGGGTTGTTGACTTGCATTTCTCATAGGTAGGAGGGACAACTCTTCTCAGAGAGTTGTCTGTATGTGTCCCTGCATATGTGTCCCCCTAATCCTGTGCCTCCCCCCCACCCAGCCCACTCCCCACATGTGGGCAGGAAACAGTTTTGATGGTTGGGTGGGCCAAAGAGGGGTTTTCCTCCTTTTCCCTTTTGCTACTGACAAGCAGTATTATCTACTTTATTATATGGGGTCAGGGACATAAGGGACAGCTGTGTGTTCAGCTACAGCTCTGCTTTCTGCCCTTCCGGAGGAGCAGAGCATCTTGTGCTTCTGGAGCCCCGCTCTCCTCATCTCGTGATTCTGCTTTGGGTTTCTCTTTTTCCTGTTCACACTGGAGGGCCTTTTTGTGCATTGCAGTTCATGGACGCATCTTGTGGTTCTTGCATTCTGAGCAGTGATGTGGGCAGAAATTCCCAGACCCTGGTTCTATGAGCATGGAGCGCATACCGTGGATGTTGCAGATCCCAGCACCCAATTGTCCTTAGGGGCCCGAGACCCACATGTCACACTGACAGGTCCCACCCGGAATGAGAGCCTAGGAACATACTGGGTTGGGAATGTCATTCTGTCTGTATTGCTCTGGAAGCACCTGAAGGCAGAATATGCTAAGCTCAGAGCTGAAAGTACTGCAGGGCCCTATTTTTATTATCTGGTCTTTGAAATCGATTTAACAGTCAGGTTTTGATCAGCCTGCCATGTTTCAAGAGTTCAGATCCTTTAGCTTTGATGTGACTCTTTCTGCAAATTGAAGCATTCCATCTTACCAGACACCTTCCTGCAGATCAGCTACTTCCACCATTTGCTGGCCCAGCTCTTCCCAACCGCTTGCTTCCTCAGTGGCTCTCACAAGAGAGGACATCCTTGTCTGTACTGAGAACTCTAAGTCCATGCCTAGCTGGGTCTCAGTATGCAGTGTCCACCTGGCTGGGGTTTGTTCTGGAAGGAGATACTAAACAGTGAATGACAAATGTGCTTGTGAGGCCCAGGAAAAGCCATGAGCAGGCTTCCCAGAGTCTCCCTCGAGTGATCCCCAGCTCCAAGTGTGAGAACACCTGTGATGGATGTATCCTCTGCCAGGAAATTCATTAGACCTGGGACCCAGCATGCTTGCCAGAGGCTGCACAGGCAGACATCAGTGCCTAGTAGGTGTCAACGATGTAAATTCCTGATGGTGGAAAGGTGGATATTGAGAATAAACCATGTCGACACAGCCCCAGCCTAAGAACACTTGTCTCACTGTAGGCCTGTGCCTGTCAAGCTCCTGGCACCAGCAATGGGTCATGCTTTCAGGCAGGCTCTACTGAGGGCAGCAGCAGCAGGTCATATGAACTCTGGGCAGTGGGTTTGGACCTCTCCCATGGGTAACTTCTAGGTTAACTTCTAGGTTGGTGTTGAAACATCTTGCTCCCCTTACAGAATACAGCCTCCTCCCCTGCTGCTTTAGTTCTAAGTTATGTGCAAGACACTACTGAGGCGTCATCACTGAAGCTGGCACAAGCTGGCAGTGGTTGGTCATGCCACTAATATGTTTCCTGTCAGGCAGCGGGGAGGTGTAGGTTTTGTTTGTTTGTTTGTTTTCTTTTTCTTTTTCTGTGAGTTTTCAAGAAAGGGTTTCTCTAATACAGAGCAATATGCTTTGGAGCCTGCCTGGAACTAGCTCTGTAGACTAAGCTGGCCTCGAACTCAACAGAGATCTGCCTGCTGCTGCCTCCCAAGTGCTGGGCTTAAAGGCGTGTACCACCACTGCCTGGTTTGATTGTTTTGTTGCTAAGCCTAGCTGGGTTCTTGTACTTGATAAGGGAATATAAGAGTCTGATTTTTAGCTTACGCTGAACTGTATTAATTTGCCTCAGTGTTTGTCTTCTAGCTTAAAGCTAGCTTAAATTTCTGAGTACCCAAAGTTTGAACCGAGGTGGGAGGCTGGGCTTATATATAGCTAGACAAAATTTTTTATCTTTAAGTTATATATTTATTTTCCTTGGTTGGTTTGGAGTTTAAAACAATAATAGCCTCCTGGGTCAGCATAGCAGGCTACACTGGTACAGAAGCCCCACCCTGCACTAAACACTTTGAAATGCTGTGCATGGGGCTGGGGGTGGGTGACTCACTGTATCAAAGCATGGGGACCTGAGTTTAAATCCCTGGAGTCCACCAAAATCTTGGCATAGTGACATACACTTGTAACTCCAGCGATGGTGGGGCTGTAGATAGGAGGATCCTGGGGCTTTGGTGGATGACCACTTTAGCCAAAATAATCATGAGTTTACTTAGAGATCTAGTTTCCAAAAGAAAAGAGAAAGAAAGAAAGAAAAAATACTATGGAGAGCAATGGGAGAGGACACTGGACATTGGACTCTGACTTGTCATGCATGACTGGGCATTCCTGCACACAAAAAAATACTGAATAAAACACAACAAAAAAGCCAGGCAGTGGTGGTGCTCACTTTTAATCCCAACCCGCAGGAGGCAGAGGCAGGTAGATCTCTGTGAGTTCAAGGCCAGTATGGTCTACAGAGTGAATGCCAGGGAGGCCAGGGCTACACAGAGAAACCCTGTCTTGAAAAAAAAAAAATCAAAAAACAAACAAACACAACAAAAAGTTTGTGTAGCAAAGCTTGGCAGCACAGGAAACTGCTAACCTGCTCTTTTAATCGGGGAGGGAGGGAGGGAGGGAGGGAAAGAAAGAAAGAAAGGAAGAAAGAAAGAAAGAAAGAAAGAAAGAAAGAAAGAAAAAAAGGAAAGGTTTTCAAGAGAACACTGACCCTCATCTGCTTAGATAGCCCTAGATGGTCTGAAAACCCTAGATCTGTTGGAAAGTGTGGGTCTGTGTATAGTGGGGAATAGAGCAGTTGAAAGTGGACGGGCCCTCCAAGATTCCCATTGTGTTCTCCTTTTTAAGTGGGATTTGTGGATTTAGTTTTGTTTTCTCCATATTGATTCCAAAAAGTAGGCACATGCCCCTTGAAGGAAACGTCAAAATATAAATAACTCTGAGGAGAAGGCAAAGAATCCCACCCTCTGGCCAGGATCCCCTGGGAGTCAGAGCCACATTTCAGTCATCTTGGCTTCTGTCTTTTTCATAGGTCTGGGCACCACCCCCCCCCCTTCTTTTTTAAACTAGATTTATTTATTTATTTATTTATTTATTTATTTATTTATTTATTTATTTATTTTGTGTGTGAATCTTTGGCCTGTATCAAGTGTGTACTGTGACTGTGGTGACCAGAAGAGGGTACCAGAAGTCTGGGATTGGGGTTAAAGGCAGTTGTGAGCCTCTGTGAGGGGTCCTCTACAAGGGCAGCCAGTACTGTTAACTGCCATGTCACCCCTTCAGCCCCATTTTTTGGTCTCCATTGTTTTCAAAGATAAATATGCAATTACACTCCCTTCCCTAATTATTGAGTGCATAAGTGACTTTTTTCTGTTAATACATGAGGTTGTGACAGTCCTGTCCTAATTTCAGATGCCATTGTTGATTATTTCCTTAGACTAGGGGTGTCTAGGATGAGAGGAGAGAAATGTCCCTCGAGTCTTTGATCTGTTGGTTTACAGAAACATAAGTGGTCTTCTCCCTACTAGACCGAGGGCCTTACAGCAGGAAGTCTGTCTCCTGCTTTTTCTAGTGCTGAGGTCCTCAGTGCCTTTCTCTCATGTCTGTACACGTGTTCTCCATCCTATCATGTGTGCGTTACATAATTGAGATCATGTTGTGTGAATGAGAGCTTTCAGGAGTTCTGTGTACTTCTGTGTAAAAGTGGTGGCTTGTTCTTGAGCTTGACATCTTTCTGCTTTGGTCTCCCGATAATTAATTAATTATGTTTTCATAATTAATCATGAAGTTAACAGTTTGTATGTTAATTGGTTGTCTGTGTTTCTTTTGTTGTTTGTTTTCCCTGGTTTTTATCTCTATTTATCTCAGCGTCTTTTAATGGCTTGAGTTTTACATCTTTGGGTCCTGTTACCATTTTGTTTTATTTTCTACAAAAGCTTTCCAAATGCATTGTTTGCTTCTTAATTTAGTCTCCCTCTGGCCTTTAAATTTCATCTGGTTTTTTCTTTTCTTTCTTTTTCCCTTTTCTATCTATCTATCATCTATCTGTCAATCCATCTATCATCTATCTATATCTACCTATTTATTGGTGTTTAAATTGTATTTAGTGTTCATTCGTCATTTTTTTTAAAGCATGTGGATCTATAAGTTGATACTTAGCTGTAGCAATAGCCTCCTAACTGAGACTAAAGACACACTAGACAGGCAAAGGCGATGCGTAAACTTTTGTTTTTATTCACTGGCACTTATGAGAACCAGTGTGCTATCACTGCTCTTTGTTGAGGTGCTGATCATCAAAATCCTTAAGGAGTTTTAATGCATCTTTCTGAAAAGCTATAACACTTTCTGTTAAGGATAAGGATAACAGATCCGAAGGTTAAAATGTATTCATTTGGGAGGTTTTTCTAATTGGATAATAATTTCCTTCAGACTAAGTAACTAGTAACTTTCATTTCCCCATATGTATTAAGTATGCACAGAGTAAGGTGGGTTGGATCACATGATAATTCAGATGTTACTTGATCTGTGTCAATATGTGACAGAAAGAGACAGTCATTGGGCTCAAACATGGGAGTATAGCATGGATTTCAAATGTGGCTAGTTCCATTCTAAAGAGAAAACAAAACTCACAGAAGTGTCTCTTTCTGATTCTCAGGGATGTTCCGGAAGGATGAAGAATTGACCCCGTCGCAGAGGGGATTAGCTGTGAGGTACGTGTCTTTGGATCTACTATGGATTGTACTATTTCACTGGCTTACAGAAAGCAACCTTCTTCCCTGTGCACTGCTGCAGGCCACCAGGTTTTGCTGTGCTAGGCTGGCGGTCTCTCCCGGACTCCCCCTAAGTCCATACCTGTGCCTCTGTACCATGTGTGCCTCCCATGAGCCATGTGAGGCCACTGGTGTCATCTCTGTGGGACTCTCAAAGACAGATGCTTGGTCTGCAGGTGTAGTGATTGCTGCTAATAATAGTAGCTGCCACTCACAGGGCAGCGGCCTGGTAGCAGTCACTGGGGCAGTATATTAACAGCACAAATGTGCAACACAGATGTTACTGATATTATTTGAGGAATTTATTCAGTCATCTTCTTTCTTTGTTCTGCTCCCAAGAGTGGAAGAGTGATTTAAGGAGTGGCTTGGTTTCCTGGCCAATTCATTTTCAATCTAACATGATTAAAGATGAAATATACTCCTTTTACCTTTAAAGAAAGCATTTCCTTTGTAGTAGCCTGTTTCTAAATACAGAATTAGAGAATGCATGGCTGCAAGAACAGTGGTCCTCAACCTGTGGGTTTCAACCCCTTTGGATCAATTTGTAATAATGAAAATACACCCTGCATATCAGATATTTACATTACAATTCATAGCAGTAGCAAAATTGCAGTTATGAAGTAGCAAAGATAAATGTTATGGTTGGGGGTGAGCACAACATGAGGAATGGTATTCGAGGGTCTCTGCATTAGGAAGGTTGAGAACCACTGCTCTAGAATAGGGGGATGATGTTCATGGCCGTGGACAGATGTGCGCCACTGTCCACCTCTTTGCCCCCTATAACACATCTGCACGCTTTCTCAGGGGATTCCCTGTCTTCTCTATGATCAGTCTTCATACAGCAGCACAGAACCATTGACTACACTTACGTGACAAATAATTGGATTGGTTATTGACTTTTCCTTGGCCTTGATCTACCCCCAGACACTGTCATATACAGACGGCAGCTCTGATTCTCCTGTCCCCCTCAGGCAACCGCCTGGCAAATGGCCAGTCCCAGTTAGCTTCAGCTTTGCACCTGATGAACAGTAGAAGGAAGCTAAGTAGAAAATACTTCTCTTGTTGGCTGGAATAATTTTGAATTTTTCACTCTATTTTTAAAATTGTGGTCCTTGGGGCAAAAGCAGTGACTCACAAGTTGCTGTTCTTGCAGAATACCAGGTTGGTTCCCAGCACCTACATGGTGGCTTGACACTAACTCTAACTCCAGTTCCAGGGGGTCTTACACCCTCTTCTGGTTTATTTGGGCACCAGACACACATATATATGCATGTGGCAAAGTACCCATACATTAAATCCTTAAAAAAAAAAAAAATGGGGCTAGAAAGATGGCTTAGTGGTTAAGAGCACTGGTTGCTCTTCAGGAGGTCTTGAGTTCAATTTCCATCACGTACATGGTGGCTCACAGCCATCCATAATGAGATCTGGTGCCCTCTTCTAGCCTATAGACATGCATGCAGGCAGAACACTGTGTATATAATAAATAAATAAATCTTTAAAAAAAAAAACCACCATGGTCCATCATGGCCCTTCGTATTGACAACAAATCATTTGCTTAGTTCTCTCTCTGAGAAGATTTTAGATTTCTCTCTTCCCAGAACTGCAATACTCTCTCCCTCTTACTCATGTTAGAAAGCTAAATTTCATTTCTTTTTTCTTTGTAGTAGAAAGTTCTTTATTAAGATGTCTTCCCCTTTCCCATCCACACAGCCCATGGGCTGCTAGGTACTCACCTCTGACCTTAATCAAGTTCTTTTTTTTTTTTCCTCTTGGTGGGTCATCATCAGCTTTGCAGGACAACTGTTGTATTGTCACGCTTTCCCTTCTAGCCACCACCTTCCTGCCACTCCTCTTTGTCACAGTACCTCTGTTGCTGGTGTTACTTTCCCTCCAGGTCCCAAGGCCGCTTCAGCCCCAAATAAGAGACATATTAATCATTAAACTGTTGGCCGATGGCTAGGGCTTCTTATAGGCTAGTTCTGTCTTAATTATTAACCCACTTCTATTAATCTATGTATTTCCATGTTGTCTTGGCTTACCGGAGAATGCCCAGGCTTGTTACTCCTTTGTGGTCTACATGGTGTCTCCTCCAGGTCTCTCTCTGTCTACCTCTCCCAGAATTCTCCTAGTCCTGCCTATCTCCCTGCCTCTATTGGCCAAACAGTGTTTTATTCATCAACCAATAAGAGAAACATATGTACAGAAGGACATCCCCCATCTCTTCATCTTCCATTCTCCCCTGCCCACTATGGTCAGACATGTTTCTTTTCTTTCTTGGTTGCCCTTAGTCTTCAGCCTTGTTGCCATGGTGATCAAGCACAGCAGCATCACTGGTCCAGCTGACTGCTCTTCACAGGATTCCTGGGCACCATGTTCTCTTGCCCTCCTGCTCAGCCATGTGCCCCTCCCCTGTCTGACTGACTGTTGCTGTACCCCAGAACTGAGACCTGAACTTCTTAGCTGTCCCCAGGTGCTTCCATGTGGTCTGGGGGCTTGAAGCCACTCAGTCCTCTCCCTCGTCTCCAGCCTCCGGTGCCCACTGCCATTTCAGGGTCCTCACTTGGATAGCAGTAGGTCTATTCCAAATACTGGTCCTGATTTCTGTCCACTGCTGCCACTTGCTGGCTGATAGCATCATTTGCTATTGGGGGCTGATGGGGAACATAAGCAGGTTTCATTTTCTTACTGCAAGTCCACTAGAAAGTTTAGTAAACTTTCAGTCATCACCACTGTGCCATCCTGCTCCTCTAAGATCTAGGAGGCTGCCTGCCAGAGTGCACTTGATGCTCTCTGTAGCAGATTTTTCGGGTTGAGTCCATTGATCCCCCCCCATCCCTATGTGTATTTGTGTGTGTGTGTGTGTGTGTGTGTGTGTGTGCACATGCAAATACATAAGCCAGAACAGAACATCAGTGTCTTCTTTTGCTTTCCACCATAGTTTTTTTTTTGGGGGGGGGGTTTCCAAGACAGAGTTTCTATGTGTACCACTGGCTGTCCAGAAACTCACTCTGTAGACCAGACTGGCCTCGAACTCAGAGATCCACAGCCTCTGCCCAAGTGCTAGGAGTAAAGGCATGCACCACCACTATCCAGCTCCACCTTGTTTTTGAAACAGGGTCTGTCATTGTACCTGGCTGTTCTGGCTGGCCAGTAAGCTGTTAGGATCCTCGTCTGTGCTTCGGTCCTTCCCTGCTCCCTCCTCCCCAGTACTGTCTAGGATACAGGAATGGGCTCCATCCTTTCCTACCCCTCCCTCCCATACCATCTAGGGTACAGGACTGGGTTCCAATGTCCCTCACACAATACTGTTTACAGTACAGGAGTGGGCTCCATCCTTCCTTGCCTCACCCCATCAATACTGTCTGGGGTACAGGAATGGACTCATTTCACTTACTGAAGAATCAAATGCAGGCAAAGTTTGAAAGGCAAGCAAAGACCAAGTTTACTCAAAGAGGATGATTTTATTAGAGTCTAAGAGAGAAACTCCAATGCAGGCAGCTGTCAGTCTTGGTAGCTGGGGGTAGGGGTTGGGGCAGCAGTGCCATTTGAGTTAAGTGGCCATGTGAGGGGAACTTCAGAAAGAGTCAGGACCAGAAAAGTCATCCTGAGGTTCTGGCCAGCCTCTGAAGAAGGGCAGGGAGGGAAAGTTGAACTTCCATCAGAAAGCTGGATAGACACAGTAGAACCTTACAGTGGCTCGGGACAGGAATTCTGGGAAGGAGATATGTGGTATTTAATTAAAGGGCTAATTATTCTGTCTGTCCCTTTAGTGTGGCCTAAGGTGAGCCTGCCTTCCTAGCGTGGTGCCTTGTTCAGGTGATTGACTAGCCTAACTGGCTAACTCTTTGATGGTTTTGGTAGCTGGAATGTTAGGTCTCTGCCCAGGCCAGAGATTACATCCTGTTGACCAGAAAGAACCGGTTTTCCCTTTATGGGTCTTTACTGTTACTGTGTCGTTGCCCCCCTCTAAAGAGGTAACCTTGGAATCATTTGGATGATGGATTAAAGATGAGGCACTGATAACCCATTTCACTATGGGAGACAAGAGCTGCTGCTCCAGTGCTGACCAGAGGGATCATTTATCATCTGGCCTGGTGTTCTAGTCCCCACAATAGCATACAGTTCTGGGCAGGTTTATTGGCTTCTAAGGAGGCAAGAAGCCAGGGCTTCCTTCCGGCATTCTTGGCCAGAGACTGAAGGACCTTTGTAGAACATCTGCTCTTGAGTCGCTGCCCTGAGCTGCCTGTCCAGTGTCTAGTGCCTGTTTTCATTGCACACCAATGTCATAGGTGCCCATGGCCATGCCCAGCTTTGAATGTAGGTGTTGGAGACTTGAACATGGCTTCTCTTGCTTCACACAGAGTACTTTTACTCACTGAGTGGCCTTTCCGTCTCCAGAGATGCTTTGAGTAGGCTTTGGGTTGTTTTAGTATTTTTCTTAACCTCTACCGATTTATACATAAAATAAAGAAAGAAAGAAAGGAAGAAAGAAAGAAAGAAAGGAAGGAAGAAAGAAACTGTAACTTCTGACCACAGCATCCTTCTCTGAAACAGCCTGGAGCTCCACACTATTGCCTTAATTTACCCACTCCTCATCTTGTTCTGGGATGGGAGAACCACGTCAGGTTGACTTCAGACTTGCCAACCTCCGGGACCCTCCCAAGATAGATAGGTGTGTGCCACCCAGCCACTCCCTCTTCAACTTTAACTACCCATCTCAAACTCTAGCCCTCTGCCCTGCCCTGCTTTCTTCATAATGTGTACTGTTTGCTTTCCTCAGTCCTTTCCCAACCCAGGCACAATGTCCTAAGGTTGAGAGCTTTGTCTGCTTATCACTACGTTCTGTCTCCTAAGCAGCCAATGATGCTTGCCCCAGGAGACATTTGTGCATATCTGGAGACACATCTGATTGTCGGAGCCCTGAAGGGTTGACTGCTAGTAGGTAAAGGGCAGCACAGAAGTACTGACCCTCAGTCGGGGAGGCTAAGCAAATCCCGCTGACCTAGATAACACACAGGTGATGTCAGTGGGTTGAACAAATCAGCAAGTCTTTTATGTGGGGAGGGAAAGAAATAGTGGGCTTAGGTATTATAGTGACTTACTCCATCCACCACCTCACATGGTTTGTTTGACAGTTGAACCAAAACTCTCCAGTAAATTATGTGACTGAGAGGAATCTGCTTGTGACCCCAGCACTTAGGAGCTGGAGACAGGGACCACAAGGCTGAGGTGTTCCTCTAGGCCAGCAGTTTACACCTGTGATCCCAGCCTCTAGGAGCCTGAAGGAAAGGGGCTGTTAAAAGTTCCAGGCCAACCAGAACCACAGAGGGCTACGTAGCAAGACTGTCTCAAACTGGGTTCAACTCCACACAATGGTGGCTCACAACTGCCTATAACTCCAGTTCCAAAGGATTTGATGCTCTCTTCTTGCTCCCTGTGGCTCATGCATGCTTGTGGTCTACATGAATTCATTAGAGGTGCGTGCGCGCGCGCACACACACACACACACACACACACACACACACACGATAAATAAATATTTTCTAAAGCCACACTAAAACACAGCCCACAAACACCACTACCTCAACAAAAGAAAGAAAAAGGTATACTGGAAAAAATAGATGGAGTTTGTGATGGAGAACTGTTTTCAGACATCCTTGTTCTCTGTTTCTCAGCTCCCACAACTAATCCTTCAACTGACCCCCCCCCCCCCAGGTGCTGCTCCCAGCGTGCCATCGGCTACAGTCCCCTGCCTGGTCTTCATTCGTCCACTATGCCCACACACTGGGCCACAGTGGCACTTTTAAAACATGGCCTTTAGAACCTGCCTGTAATTTTTCATCTCGTCCTCTGTGGCTTGGAAGGCAGGCCCTGTGTGACCTTACCTCAATTAGCGGTCTTTCCTCTGTGTCTTCTTCGTCATGATGTCAGCGGCGCTATCACCGAGTGTACATCACCTGTGCCCTCCTTGCTCCTGCCCCTAGATTCTTCATTGCCAGGGTTTGTACAGCTCTCACTTCTGTTCAGCCTCTGCCCAAATGGGATTCACCAAAGAGGCTTCTCTGACTTCTTTATGTAAATAGACCCCTTTCTCATTGTGGCATTTAGCATCTCTGAAGATTACATATATTATTATAAGGTTACATTTCTGCATATAAATGATATCAGTGCACACATGTCATATGTATATATGACGTCTGTATATATGACATCTGTGTTGTACAATGGGAGGATAAGCTCTGTGCATGCCGGATTTTGTTTGCTGACTACACTGTCTGCAGACCCTGGAGCCTGTTGTCCACATGATGGGCACATGGCATGCATTTGTTGAATGAGCAGGCAAGTAAGAAGTGAGCGACGATTCCTCGTGCCCCATTGTGGTCATCTTAGGTCATTAGGGAGAAACCTAAGTGAAAACCCTCTGTAGTTGCTGCTAAAGAACTGTATGAAAACCCCTACTGTTCTATTTCATTTCTATAAGATACTTTAATAAAAAGTAACTTAGGGGAGAGAGGGGGTTTATTTGGCTCACAATTCCAGAATGTAGTCTGTCTTAGTTAAGATTTCTATTACTATGATAAAAATACCATGATCAAAGCAATTTGGGGAGGAAAGGATTTGTTTTAGCTCCATCCCCATGGGAAGCCAGGACAGGAACACAAGGAAAGGAGGCAGAGCTGATTTAGAGGCCATGGAGAAGTGCGCTTACTGACTTGCTCCTCATGGCTTGCTCAGTCTGCTTACACACCCAGGACCAGAAGCCCAGGGGTAGCACTGCCCATATCAATCACTAAGAAAATGCCCCGCTGGATTGTCAACAGACCAATGTCAAGGAAGAATATTCTCAACTGTGGTTCTCTCTTCTCAGGTAACTCTAGCTTGTGTCACATTGGCAAAAGAAAAACCAGGACACAGGTCACTATAGCAGAGGAGTCACAGTGGCAGGGGCTCAAACAGTTGTCATGTCACCTCACAGTAAAGGGCAGGGAAAAATCAGTGCAGCGACACTCGCTTGGCTAGCTTCCTCCTAGGCTGCATCATTCAGGACTCACTTTCTAGGGAACAGTGCTACCCATGATGGCCTGGGTCTCTGCATGTAAACTAACAGCCAAGATGATTCCCCCCAGGCCCACCTGATCTACAAAACTCTTCCTGAAGACTCTTCCCAGGTGAGAAGGCTGTGTCAAGTTGAGAGTTTAAAATTAAGTAATGTATCTATTCAAACACAGATATGTTGAGAATCACTCTGTTCCACCTCCCGGATTCTTACATAGATGCTCATGAAAACTGAGGTGTGTTTTGTTTTGGGAATGGTAACAGTAGTGAGCACACGGCTGCCGGTTTCTGTGGCTTGTCCCTGAAAGTGTCTCTCGCACCTTACTAGCATGTCCTCTCATTACAGACGCATGCCGAGTCTCCTGGAGTATGTAAGTTATACCTGCAACTTCATGGGTATCCTGGCAGGTCCTCTCTGCTCTTACAAAGACTACATTACTTTCATTGAAGGCAGGCCATCCCACATGTCACCGTCAAGTGAGAATGGAAAGGAAGAGGCACAGCATGAAAGAGCAGATCCATCTCCAAACGTAAGGGCATGAGGCTCGTCTGGAGCTGTGGCTCTATAGCTTGTCTCTCTGGCTTTCTGGAAAAGTCTAATGCTTTCACTTGTTGTAATTCCCCCATTGATTTCTCTCTTTTTCGCTTCCTGGGTGTGTATGTGTGTGCAAGAGTGCATGTGCATGCATGCATGTGTGCATATGTGTGTGCACATGTGTGTATGTATGTATGTGTATGTGTTCATGAGTGTGCATGTGGTGTGATTTTAGGGATTAAACCCAGAGCATTGTCAGGGCCTGTGTTGCTAATGTATTAAGGCAAATAATTCTACCACTGAATTGCATCTCTGTCCTCCATTCCCAATTTTTGTTTTCATTTTTTTAAAAAAATGCTTATGTGTCTGAGTGTGTGTAGGGAGAACCATGGTGATCAGAAAAAAGGTATAGGATCCCCTGGAGTTGAAGTTACAGGCAGTGTGAGCTGTCTGAAGTGGGTTCTGGGAACCAGACTCTAGTCCTCTCGTAACTGCACAGCACCTGTCCAGCCCTCTTGTCCTGAAGCTGACAGTGACCTTACTCTGAAGCCTGGCCTTGAACTTACAATTTTCCCATTTCAAACCTCCCCAGGTAGCTAAAATTACATGTCTGCACCACCTGCCTGGCTTTCATCTATTTCTTTAAAAGTATCTTTCAGGAAAACCAATTCTTTATACTCTACTAGTTGTGCTGTCTAGTAGAGGCAAAGTCATGATTAAAGAACAAATGTAAGTCACTGTGTAAGGGGCTGAAGAGATGGCTCAGTGGTTTAGTGCACTTGTTGCTGTTGCAGAAGACCCAGGTTTGATGCCCAGCACCAATGTGGCAGCTCACAATAATGCATAACTCCAGTTAAGGTATCTGCTCTCTTCTGACCTCTGTGAGCACGAGGCACACACAGTGCACCTGCAAGCATACAGGTGAAACGATTCATACACATAAAACAAATATAAAAGAAAGAAAACCAATCCTTAGTGAAAGCAATGCTATCCAGTGGTGGGTCTTACATGGCAGCCCCTCATGGGTCACCACTGGAAACACTGAAGGCTCCTTTTCCACTCACGTTCTCCTCCTAATGATGATAGTCAAGTCTTACTCATGGGGCCGGGGAGATGGCTTAGTGGCTAAAGCACTCACAAGTGTGAGGACCATAGTTTGGATCTCCAGAACCCATGTAGTGGTAGTGTGTCACACTTGCCTGTAATTCTGTCTCTGGAAGGCAGACATAGGATCCCCAGAGCAAGCTGACCAGCACGACTAGTCATATCAGGGAGCCCTGGATCTGATTGACAGACCCTTCTTTGGTGATGGAAGTTAATGAGGGTGAAATGCCCCCGGCAAGGCGCCTCCTGATTTTTTATCGCTCAGGGTTTGTTGCTGCATTGCCAGGATATATCTGGTGGCGGTGTGTGAAATGTGCAAACAGAGTCCTGTGAGGTTTGTGACTCTCATCTACCTGTTCCAGGCAGCAGTCACGGAGAAGCTCCTCGTCTGTGGACTCTCTTTGTTGTTTCATTTGACCATCTCCAATATGCTACCCGTGGAGTACAACATTGATGAGCATTTCCAAGCCACTGCCTCATGGCCAGCCAAAGCCAGCTATCTGTATGTCTCTCTTCTGGCTGCCAGACCTAAGTACTATTTTGCATGGACCTTAGGTAAGTAGCATGTAGACTTGTTTCTATGCTGAAGTGTATCTTGATTTCAGGCAGTGGCCTGGGGTTTTTGTTTTGTTTTGTTTTGTTTTTCTGTGACTGTGTTGTATTGTACCTGCTGGCCTCAAACTGCTGAGTGCAAGCAATCCCCCTGTTTCAGCCTTGCTAGTAGCTGAACTGCAAGCACCTCACTGCATCCAGCTCAAGAGCGCCCTCTTGAGTATATACAGTTGAAGAACAAGTAGAACAAGTCATTTTGCCTAAGAAACAAACTCCTGAAGTTCATGAGCAAGGCCCATTTTATTATAAGGTAAAAGTCAGTGAATAGGTGAGGTGACAGCAGGTACTTATCTTAATGCCTGTTGTGTGCTAGGTTCTATGAGCTTGATTGGATACTAACATGAATGGGGTAGTCCCTGTCTCCAGGGTACCTGTAGTTTAGTAGGATTTTAATACATTTGTTATGACACCATTAGATATGGTTTATTATGATCAGAACTGCACTGGTAAAGTGTGAAAAATCACATCAGTTCACGAAAGTGTCCATGACACCTGACAGGTGGACCATAATAAAGAGTTTTGTGCCTTTAAGGCTGAAGAGGTGTGTACACGTGCCTGGACCTTGACTGGCGTGTTGGGGACCGAATGGAAAAGATGGGTCTGGGGAGGAGAGAACCCTCTCTCAAGCCTTCTGCTGTATGGCTGCACAAGCCTTGGGAGGCTCCAGATGATGGTGTCATGAACTGCCAGTATTCAACATTTTCATGTTATCGCCACATAAATCGTCTTGAGTGTAGCAGTGAACTCCCGATGTTCCTGCCCACAAACAAACAAATGGAATAAGGTGGATTTTAGCCATTGGATTATTAAACCACTAGCTGCAGGAATATGGGTTTTCTGTACGCATTTGGATTTGTTGGCAGCCTTGTGTGGTGGGAGTGGGGCTCTCTCTATGTTCTTATCAGACGTTATCTTTGATCCTATAATAAGCCTGCATGATACCATATTGGTAGGCTCACCATGAAGGCACAGCTGTACCCTTCTTAAACCTGACAGAAGGGTAAATCTTGATTGCTCACTGTCTCACCAAATTATATATATATATATATATATATATATATATATATATATATATTTGTTTAATCAAATGAGAAATAAGGAATAAACAATTTGAGGGTAGGATCCATGTCTATGAAGGTGTGTTGTTTTGCTGCATTTTGATGGGTTTCCGCTAGTTTGGTCAAGACACAGATGGTATGAATTAGGTACACTTCCAGTTGGTTGGGAAGGACTTACTTGGGGCAGAAACTTCATATCTTGAGCAGGTTTGTAAGCAAAGATGCTGATGGCACACCATGGTGAACGGGTTGAAAAGCAGGTTCTGCAGACAGAGTGGGTTGTGGTGAGCCAAGAAGGAAAGAAACGAAAACATTAGCCCCCCCCCCACATGTTTCTATCTATAATAAAGGCCAACATGAACGCACTGAGCTCAGGGCAGAAGATTCCCAGCAGTGCCTTCCAGATGGCTGAGCATTCTCCACCATATTCTAATGTGTACCTCAGACTTTTTAATCTCACCTGTCTCCTCTTACTTCACATCTGGTGTTTTGTTAGCTAACCAGCTGCCTTTAACAGGGTCATTATTTTCACTGTGTGTGATTTTTCTAACCTCTCTTAAAAATTAGAATTAACCAGGGCTGGACAGACGATGACTCAGTTAAGGATGCTTGTTGCTGTGGCGTAGTGCCTTTAATCCCAGCACTTGGGGTAATCCCAGCACTTGGGAGGGAGATGCAGGTGGATCTCTGTGAGTTCAAAGCCAGCCTGGTCTGCAGAACAAGTTCCAGAATAGCAGGGCAATATAAAGACCTTGTCTCAAAAATTACAACAGCAACAACAACAAAAACAAACCGTTTGTTGCTCTTCCAAATGACCTGAGGAGTTTGGTAGATTATAACTACCTGTAACTCCAGCTCCAGGGGATCCAGAATCCTCTCCTGACCTCCATGGTCACCTGCATACATGTAACATGTACAAAGAGAGAAATATACACACATGCACATTTTTAAAATTAGAGTAAGTCATGGACTACGGTTGCAGCTCACCAGCAAAGGGCTTGCCTAGAAGGTTCAAGGCACAAGGTTCAATCTCTCAGATACAAGTAAATAAAAAGTCTCCTTTTACTGTTTAAGAGTAAATCATAGTACAAACCTTCTGGAAAAATAGAGTAGATATTTTGAAGGGTGGGAGCGATGGCTCAGCATTTAAGAGCATTTGTTGCTCTTGCAGAGGAGGCGTTTTCAGTTTCCAGCACCAACATGGTGGCTGACAAACATCTGCAACTCCAGTTCCAAGGGATCTAACACCTTCTTTTGACCCCTGAGGGCACCACGAATGTACACAGTACATAAAACATGCATGCAGGTAAAACACCATCTTTAAAAAAACAAAACAAGGGGCTGGAGAGTTGGCTCAGAGGTTAAGAGCACTGCCACTCTTCCAGAGGTCCTGAGTTCAATTCCCAGCAACCTCATGGTGACTCACAACCATCTATAATTAGATGTGGTGCCCTCCTCTGGCCTGTAGGGTTGGTTACACTATATATATATATATATATATATATATATATATATATATATATATAGTAAGTCTTTAAAACAAGACAAAACAAATATGTGTATATATACATATATAGTGCATACATTGTAATATTTCTGATATGTGTGTATATATGTATAGATTGTAATGATATTTCTAATACTTTACTTTGTGACAGCTGATGCCATTAACAATGCTGCAGGCTTCGGTTTCAGAGGATATGACAGGAATGGAGTGGCTCGTTGGGACTTAATTTCCAATTTGAGAATCCAGCAAATAGAGGTTAGTAAATGATTAAGATGTTAATCATGTGACAATTTTAACACCACAGTTTGCTTTCACAGTTATGGCGAGCTGTCTTTAGAGTGGTGCTAATGGGTGTTGACCACAGTAAGACTCAGACCTTTGGGGGTTTTTTGTAATAGAATAAAGAGTTTCTTTGGGCTTATAGAAGGTGAGAGTCAGATGCTGAGATCTTGCATCGTGAACTGCAAGCATAAAGCAGGGGGTGATCTAGAGATGGCATGAGTCTTTAACCTGTTTGAGTCCACCTCTGATGACACACCTCCTCTAACAAGACACACCTCCTAACCTCCCAAGACACACACACCTCCTAACCCTCCCAAGCAGCACCATCAACTGGGGATTGAGTGTTGACATACGTGAGACTATGAAGGGGACATGTTTCACACATGGATTGATGTTTATTTTTATACGAAGATTCATGGATGGTCAAGGTGCTGTGAGTCAATGACTGTTGAGTGTTTGGCATAACACTGGATGCTCACACCACCCCCTTTCAGGGCTCGTAGAGGAGGGGGTGGAAAAAATCAAAACCAAATGACAGGGAGGAGGGCTGTGGAACAATATCCCGACCATCACCCCATATTTACTGGTGGTAGACTACCCCCTGGTGCGCGAATATGGCTGGTGACTTAAGGGACCTCAGGAAGCTGTAGAAAGTGCTGCAAGTAGGTTTTGACCTGGAAAGTACAGACATACAGTCTGTAATGGTCTGGTGTCTTAGGGAAAGTGAAGTGGGAGGTGACTAGGTGAGGCCTGGAGGAAGAGCATCCTATGAGGCTGGAAAGGGCAAGCCATTCCCAGGGCTGCAGGACAAGGTGCTGTGGCGAGGCCAGAGAAGCAGAAGCCACATCAAACAGCCTCAGAAGCTGCCAGCACCTACAGGGCCACTCACAACTGGTTCTGGGGATCTGGTGCCCTCTTCTGACTTCTAGAAGCACCACATGCACAGACTGCATAGACACACTCAGTGAAAAACTCATAAAATAAAAATAAGTAGGGAGGGGAGAGGAAGTGGTGGTTGCTGAAGTAAGGTAATGAACGGGTTGATATTTACAACCCTTGACCCTTTGGCGCCACTCTGAGGAACCTTCCAACCCCCCCCCCCAATAGAGAGACTGTTATTTATCCACATTTTTATGGTTATCCATAAAAAGGGTAGGGTTTGTCCACACCCCAAAAACCGGAGTTCTTCCTCCTGGGAACATGTGGCATCACCTTGGGAATGAGGAAAGAGAAGCATTGGTTCCCTGGAGGAGGACACAGTGACCACTGCTAAATGCCCCCAGATGTCAATGAGATAGGTGCCCAGGAACAACCGTACCGTTACGATTTAACAGTTCTGCAGGGAGGGGGGAAACAAAAGGTGACACAGATCTGTGGAGGCCTGTAGCCAGGGCGTGGGGGGGGGTGGAGGGGTGGGGGTGGAGGGGGGGTAGGGAGTGCTGAGGAGGCATTTGTTTAATTTTATCTTAAAACGTAAAGATTAGGGGGCTGGAGAGATGGCTCGGTGGTTAAAAGAACTCACTGCTCTTGGGAGGACGAGTTCAATTCCTAGCACCCATGTCAGGCAGCTCACATCCACCTGTAACTTTTATGGATCTGAAACTCTTCTCAGGCCCCTGTGGGCACCTGCACACACATGTAGATATGCAGAGGTGCGTGCGTGTGTGAGTGCATGTGTGCGCGCACACACACACACACACACACACACACACACACACACACAAACATTGCATTGTAATAACTGTTTTCAAGACGGCAACAGCTGCCAGTGGATATATTGGGGACCTAATTACAGTTGAGAACCATGTCTGTATGAGATGTCTGGAATGTCACAATCATCATCAAGATGCTGCTATTGGGGATGATGGACAGCCTGTCAATCAGAGATCAGGGTTTTGATATGTAGATGGGTAGGTAGGGAAGCTAGACAAGGTCATCAATGACCTTGATATGATAAATAGAGTGTGGAATCTAATGTGCCAGAAGGAGCTAGAGATGTAGCTGCTCACAACGATTGGCTGTGCACTGACCATGTGTGGTAGCCCTTGGTTTGATCCCCACCATCACCGTAACTGAATAAGAGGAAGGAAGACAGTTACATAGAATGACAGCAGACAAGCTGCAGCCCAGATATAGACATACACATTCAGGAAGTGCTAAATGTAATAATATTAGCTTGACCACAGAGGCTTCCCAGTCTGAGAGGTTCACAGCCCATTGCTGTCTGGAGACAGTGTGGAGCTGGGGGGAGCTTCAAGATCTAGAGTAGCCAATGGGGCCTGAGAAACAGTGCTGGGTGGCTGTGACTGTGGACAGCCTTTACCTGGAAAGAGACAGAATGGAGGATAGGGAAGGTGAGGCAGTACTATCCAGGACACAGGGGCGAGCAGATCACTGTGTGAGTGGACTTCTCTGTGTGATGACCTGGGAGAACATGGCAATGTCCTTCTGATAGATGATGCTCCGTGGAAGATGCTTCTGTATTAGAAAAGTATTGAGGAAGGAATCGGTGCTGGGTCATCATTACCCACTGACTTTTGGTTTTAATTTCTTAGCATGCTGAAGCATTATTATGTAGACATAAAGCTTCATTATTTTACTGGCCAAAGAAAATGATCCCTTTGTTTTTCAGATGTCAACAAGTTTTAAGATGTTTCTTGATAACTGGAATATCCAGACAGCTCTTTGGCTCAAAAGGTATGTTCTTTCAAGAGTCACCCTTGGGCAGGCTCTGGCATCAGCATTGGGCCTCAGCTTGCTGAGGTGACGTTCTTCATTGTCAGTGTGTTGGATGCCATCATGGTCTTGATTTTACCCAAGTTATACCATTAGCGTCCACTGAAGTAAGGCTTGGAATTGAGTCACAAACATCCCTATGTTGGTGTCACCTCCTTCTGGTTCAGGTCTGCTGATGTCTGGGTAGGCAATTAAATAAATGCATACAGGGCAGAGGTAGTGTACACCTTTAATCCCAGCACTAGGGAGGCAGAGGCAGAGGCAGGCAGATCTGTGAGTTCGAGACCAGCCTGGTCTACAGAGCTAGTTCCAGGACAGCCAAGGCTGCATAGAAAAAACTTACCTTAAAAAAAACCAAACCAGACAAAAACACAACAAAACAGCCAACCTCTGGGCTGCCTTGGATTTCTGGAACTGACTCAACTGCTCTTTATATGTTGGACGTGAGACATACATGTAGGACCAAAAGACCCATTGTTAGTACTCAGGCATCTGTACTGACCTGCCCTTGGGGTTCTGACAGGACACACCCTCAGCTGGAGCCACTAAGAGCACCCCCTGTGCACATTCACTACATCCCCTTTATTTTATTTTACTACATTCCCTTTTAAAAGGGTCCTGCCTACCTCCCATTTTTCTCTCTTTCTGCTTCTCTGCCCCCTCCTCTCCCTTTCTTTTCTCTCCTGCTTCCCCAGTCCCCAGAGGCCAGTCTCTCCTCCCTCCTTTTCCCATTCACTTTCCCCTCAGTAAAAATACCTCCACCCAAGCTGTATTGCATGGCATCTTTCTCTCAGGAGCTGCTTTTTAAAATTACAATACCCAGTCCCCACTCCTTAGTAAGAACTCACAATACCCTTAACATTATAGCTGGAGGCTACAGAAATGGCTCAGCAGTTAAGAGCATTTGCTGCTCATGTAGTGTTCAACTGTCACCACAAGGTGGTTCATAACAATCAGTAACACCAGTTCCAGAGGATCTGATGCCTTTTTCTAACCTTGACAGGCACCAGGCATGCATGTCATACACATGCATGCATGTGGGCTAGACATCCATACACACAAAATAAAGTAACTTGAAAAGCAACAACAAAATCTTACAGCTGTTCCCTGGAGTGCAGATTCCAAAGGAGAGCAAGACTAGCAAGAGCACTGAGAACTGAAAGTCAGATGTGTCTCAGGATGTGAGGTTGGGTGGAATAGCACACACCAGAGATAAGGTATTGGGAGCAGAAGTCACAGAGCAGTGACAATCGAATGTACCCCTTGAGACATTAAAACATATGTTGTCGTCATTGCGTCCCAGCTAGCCTTCTCAATGGTTCTGTCTGAAAAAACTCATACTGAATCCTATCCTCTGCTTTAGGAAAATGAGACTGGTATATAGACTCCCAAATACCAGAAGTGACCATGTTAGTAATTTTACATACCCGTGAAAAGATAAGGACAAAGCTTATGCTTGTAAGGTGACACTAAGTGACCCAGCTAGGCCCAGGAGAAGTGCTGTTTGCTTTCCTGGCTCCCCTAACTCTGTGAGGTCAGAGAAGGACCCTGTGGGCTTTGTGGCCTCAGTCTGTTCACTCCTCTTTCCATGGTTTTTAGGGTGTGTTATGAACGAGCGACCTTTAGTCCAACAACCCAGACGTTCTTTCTCTCTGCCATTTGGCATGGGGTCTACCCAGGATACTATCTGACGTTTCTAACAGGCGTGCTAATGACATTAGCAGCTCGTGCTGTAAGTATTGGCATTTATATTTTATAATTCATTGAGTGAATCTCTGTTCTTTGGCTGTGATTAGCATCATCTTCCCAGGAGAAGTTAGGTATCTAATTGTGCTTGGAAGCTAATGCTCACCCCATGCAAGCCTCGACACTAACTGTACACCAGGAGAAGCCACACACCTGGCATGTGGGAAGTGCTTAAAACATCTCATGACATTTGTGAATGAGAGAAAGTAAAGATGGTTAGAATGGGTAGGTCAGAGCTTGGTGGTGGTGCATGCCTTTAATCCCATCACTAGGGAGGCAGAGTCAGGCAGATCTCTGTGAGTTCCAGGCCAGTCTAGTCTACAGAGTAAGTTCCAGAGTAACTAAGGCTGTTAAACAGTGAAACCCTGTATCAAAAAACAAAACAAAACAAAACAAAACAAAAAAACAACAAACAAATCTAAAACAAAGCAAAAACCAACAAGACAAAAAAGAATGGGTAGGTCTGTTCTTCAAAAAACATTTCTGGGGGAAAAATGGTCTGTTTTTAGAAACTTTCTTAGAAACTTGAAAGGGGGGAGATACTGAAATTTTATTCAAGTAATCAAATAATTTTTTTGCAACAGATAAAAAAAAGCAAACAAAAATTTCTGTTTACTATGGATGTAACCCTTGAATCCTCTTTTAATTCAAAGTAGAGTTTGACCACTCCTAGGGAAGGGGATGGCCAGTTCCCAGTGGAAGATGCTGTGGATGTGGCACCATCCAGTAGAGTATTTATTTGCTGGGGGGAACCTGGAAAGGTTTGGGGAAGCAATTAAGACAGCTTCATACTATGAGAGAGAAAAGGAGAATAAATTGGTGTATTGAAATTCAACTAGTGGGAAGCAATGTGTCAAAAAGTATGCTTTAGCAAACATTATAGAGCCTTATGGGTAAAGTAGCTTCATCTAACACTGTAGCAGATACTCCTTTTGATGTACCCAAGAGATTAGCAAGAAAGAGTAACACAGGCTGTAGCTCCTGGTAGTCAGTACCAGCTGGAGTGCAGTGGGGAAAAGATTGCATGCCTTAGTGTATTTGGGAAATGGCGGAGAAATGTAAATTAAAGCAGTGAGTTTGTGTGCATGTGAGGAGTGGATAGTTCAGGATAGGCAGATGGAAGAAAGGAAGCAGGCGGCGGTGAAGTCTCAACACTAGCCCAGAAGCTTGGTCCTATTCTGTCCCTATCATCAGAGAGTTGGCAGGTGAGGCTTCTGTCTTGTTTTCTTGGGGTGCTGAAGAGTGCACCCAGGGCCTCGAAATATAGATGAGCACCGTAGCACTGAGCTACCTCCCCAGACAGCTAAGGTTTTGCATCTTGGGGTGGCATGGTGCCGTCGTGCTGGAGGAAACGGGCTTGTTGGTAATAGACAACTCAAGCAGCAGGGTGAGAATACTACTCTACAGGCTTGAAGTAGTTGTGGTCACCACTGTGTTTTATATATAATGCTGATCTAAAAATGTAGTGAATCTTTTTTGTGTCTTTATTTCTTTTCAGGTGAGAAGTAACTTTAGACACTACTTCATTGAACCCCCTCAACTTAAGTTATTTTATGACATCATAACATGGGTAGCAACGCAAATAACAATAAGTTACACGGTTGTACCGTTTGTACTTCTTTCTATAAAACCATCATTCAAATTTTACAGGTAAGTGCTACTCTTCAGCTGCCTGGAGGAGTCGCTGTGTTCACAAAGAAAGTTCTGTACTAACTGAATAGAATAACAGAAAGTGTCTTAGTCAGGGTTTCTATTGCTGTGACAAAACACCATGACCAGAAAACAAGCTGGGGAGGAAAGGGTTTATTTGGCTTATACTTATGCATTCCTGTTTATTACTGAAGAAAGTCAGGACAGGAACTCATGGAGGCAGGAGCTGATGCAGAGGTCATGGAGGGGTTCTGCTTACTGGCTTGCTCACCATGGCTTGCTCAGCCTGCTTTCTTATAGAATCCAGGACCACCAGCCTCCACCTACCATGGACTGTACCATTTCCACCCTGAGATTCAAAACTTTAGCTGTCCGGGGAAGGTAGCTCAGTGCTACGGTGGTTCTCTATATTTCGAGGCCCTGGGTACACTCTGCAGCACCCCAAGAAAACAATAATTGAGAAAATGCCTTACAGCTGGATCTCACGGAGGCATTCCCTCAACAGCTTCCTTCTTCTCTGATGACTCCAGTTTGTGTCAACTACACAAATAATATTGCAGCCACATTTCTGCCATTAAGTATATTATCAATTTCCATGGCACAGCTCATCCTGTTTAGCCCAAAGGTGGAAGTGTGGTTCCCTCAGTGGTACCAGCAGAGGGACCTGCCCCCACCCCAGGAAGACTTGGCTGTAGCCTAAGTGTCCAGAAAATGGCTAGAAAGGGAAAGGGGGCATGCTTTATCGATTACTAATTAGCTGGATTTTCAAGTCATAGGAAAGTATTTGCACTTACTGCCTCCCCCCCCACCCCCCTTCTCTGCTTGGCTGACAGCTGAAAGCCTCTGTATTTCGGAAGTCACTGTCTGAAAGTCAGTGTTTCCCGTTACTCTTCCATCTGTCCCTGCTCCACAGCATCCACTACTCCCGTGTTAACAACGTGTTTGAAATTAGAAGCTTGATTCTCTCCATTTCTGTGGGGTTTGTGACTTCAGCACAAGAATCTGTGGTCAAAGAATTAGATGCTGGCATTAGGACCAAGCTTGATAGCCACACAGGAAAGACAAATGATTGGTTAAAGTGTCCATGTCAGCAAAGTTTGTTCATTTAAAAATGTGGGTGGGTTATTGGTTGGATTGTCTGTCCCATATTTCTTTGGTCAGTCACTTTGAACTTTCAACTTTGGAAGCAGTTAAGGTCCTATCAGACTCAGCAGATTTAGGGACTGATTTTCTGGTGGTTTTCTTAAGTACAACCTGTCACACAGTGTTTGTTACCTACTGCTCACATTGTTTCAGTCTTAGTAAACTGAGTGACAGTGGCTTTGGGGAAGGCCAAGAAGGGACTCAACTCTTCTCTTGTCTGTCCAGTGTCCTCTGGTGACCCCACATGTAATTTTGTGGGTACGTTCAGACTGATGCCTCTGCTAATGAATGCCTTTTTGTTTGTGTCCTGTGTAGCCTCATGAGCCTTACAAAACATTGCAGTGTGCCTAGGCCTAAACTCGCAAGCTGGGGGTGTAATGCCGTTATTCATGCCCAGGCATACACTGTGGAAAAAGGGAGGAAAAAATACGGTGGATAACCCCGTTAGCAGGGCCCTGGATGTTGGCAAAGGTGAAGCTGGTAAACCATTTTCCTTTTCCTTTTAGCTCCTGGTATTACTGCCTTCACATCTGCAGTATCTTAGTGTTGCTGTTGCTGCCGGTGAAAAAAATCTCCAAGGGGAAAGAGCACACAGGAAATGTTCGGCTCTCACGAGCCAAGAAGTTTGACGAAAGAGAAAATTCTCTAGGACAAAACAGTTTTTCCATGACAAATAATGTTTGCACTCAGAACCAAGACATTGCCTCTAGACACTTGTCACTAACACAGTGACTGGGAGAGCGCATGATGGCTGTTTCCCGCCTGTGAACAGAAACCAGTCCTGATGCCTTTCCAGAGACAAACTGGGTGGAAACGGGACAGTCTCAGAGAGGGGATTTCCTGTACACCAGATTGGAAACGGAGTGAAATAACCCTTCCCATGCCAATGTTCCTGTGGGTCACGCCTTACACAAAATCTTTCCATGTTTCAATAGGGCACTCAGACATCAGCGTATGCCCTCCAGGTCATATGTATGCCCTGTTGTTGAATGTACACTGTGTATCCCAAGGCACTGAAGAGCTGGAAAAATGATCATATGTCAATCTGGATGATTGAAAGGTTAACTGTTTCCAAATGAATGTCTTGCCTTAAACCTTCTGTTTCCTAAAATGTTGTTCCTGGATGGTATTTTCAAGTGTAGTATTGTGAGGAGACAATTTCACTATTTGATGTGCTGCCCTGCAGAGTGGGAGTGAGGAGGAGGAGGTTAAACCGGATAGTTAAGATTGTGGGTACTTGAAAAATGCAATAAACATCTCAGTATTTGAAGAGTTTTCTTGAGGTAGCTCAGAGGGCTGCATCCATGGTAGAGCTGTGTACAGTCAGGGCTGTTAAATTACAGGTAGCTTATTCTGCTGGGAGCTTAATTACCTGGTGTCAGTTAGGGGGCTTTCAGGATGACTTTCTTAAACATAATTAAAGGTTGGCAATGTGATATTTTAGGCTTATTTTCTTAAGAAAAAAAATAGTGAGAGGGAAGATGAGATGAAGAAAGCACTGTGTGGTCCAGAGCCAGGACCAGAGGCTTCCCCCTTTCGTGCCCAAGATCAGTGTGACTGTGTGGGACACAGAAAGACTAATAAGGTGGTAATACTGTGGACTTTATGAAGAAATTTCTCAAGCATAAATTACATAGAATTAGAAGAGATTATGAGTAACAGTGGTAGATTATTTGAAGATTTTGAAAGAGATCTCCAGTGATTAAGGTTATTGTATGGTTCATTGGTTTCTTGTCCTTGTCATTTTCATTGCTATTTGGGAAAGATTTAGGGGGGAAAAACTTAGTTGCTGAGCCTAAATGACATTTTTAAAAAATTAATAAATTAGTTTCTACATTCTTTAACTTCACGTATTAAAATTCTTCCGTTAAAATCTTGTTAAGATGGGTGTTAGATTCTATCAAAACAAATACTTTTGGTGTTTTCTTCTTAGGGGCCACTCTTGACTATGTGACTGGGTATGTCTTTGATCTAACAACAGTGTGCTGTGGGCTGCAACAGCTGTAAGGGAGGGGAGGCTATGAGGCCATGGAACCGAGCTATAGACTGTAGGTTCCGCCTTGTGAGAGAAAGGCTGGGCTTGTGGGCCTCTCTGTTATTAGACCGGTCTTTTTGTGAAATTTGTTTTGGTTTTGCCTTAAATTTTCAAATGAAATGCAAATTATCAGTCTACAATCAGTTGGGGTTTTTTTGTTTGTTTTTGTTTTGGTCACTAATACACTTGTGAGTAAAGTTAAGAAGCAACCAGCAGTGATGATGTAAAAGTTAGGGTTTTAGTGGAACAAGAAAGGTGCCTGGGTCAGTGTGGCATTCTAGGACTTTGCAGGTATGGGTGGCACATTTGCTTTTCTGAAGGCAGATTGTCTGCATCTGATTAGGAGAGCTGGCCCACCACACACCCCCCCCCCTTCCCAGAGAAAGGGCTGGTAAATACTTTTTCTTAGTTTCCCCACGTGTTGAAACCAACCTAGCTGTAGGATTTGAGAGGAAAGAAGGGTTGATGGATAGTGCCTGCCTGCAAATGTCTGCAATTTCATGCATACCATGGAGAATCCAATCACTATTAAAGAAAGTGATCAAACCCAAAGCCTAAAAGACAGCCACAGGCATTTCATAAGGGAAAGCTGGAGACCCAGTAGAAACTGCTGAAGGATTGCTGTGCCTATCCAGCCACTTACAAATAACCCTCCCCCCATTTATTCCTGTTACCCAAACACATTTTATTTTTAGGCCTATACACACTTGAGTCAATGTTGCCTGTTTCCTCTCAAGGAATTTATAATCATAGTACTATCATCCAAAAAGCAAGACAATGATCATTGTTCTATTCCCAGACGATGATACACAGCACATCCAATTTGACTGATTTCTTTGTTTCAGTCTTCTATAGCTACTAGTTATATTTCTGAGATCATTTTGGGGGGCAGGTCGAATGGCTGTCTTCTAATTTGGAGAAATAATCATAGTTATGCAATCTAAAATAAAATAAATCAAATTCTCAATTTTTCTCAAAAATTATATTCTATAAAATGAATATCTCTAGTTGGGATGTTTATAAAGATTATTTTGCTCCTACTTAGAAGGATTTAGACTAACATTTGTGCTACTGTTAATTGTGAAGAGGTCATTATAATATGTGCTTGCTGAGTTTTAACAGGGAGAACAGGTTTCAGTGTGTGTTTATATTGTTTTCCATCCCGTGAGTGTCCTGAAGTCACTCTAGAAAGGGTCAGTCTACATCATATTTATACTTCTGTTTGGTTATAAATTACTCAGGGAAAATAGAACAAAAATATTCTTCCCTCAATTTCATTTCCTTGAAACAATAATTATTAATTTGATGTGTCTCAGCTCACTGTATTTAATCAGAACTCGGCGTGCTTGATTAGCTTCTGGAATGCCCAGAATTGGAGAGAAGGCTCCATGGGCCCGATCACTGTGTCTTATGGATGACACCCATACAGGGCATTTCCACACATGCCAATTTTGAAGTCACCATCTAGAAAGTGACAATGGCTTCCTGTAAGTACTAACTGGCCTGACTGGTCCTTCTGGCTCTTGCCTGGGGGGGGCACCCTGAAACCCCCCAAGCCTGTAAGGTGAAGGGCAGGTCACTGTAGGCTGCTTTACTCTATATTTTAAATGGCAGAAAGCAATTTTAAATTGCCATCCAAATAACCATAAAGGTTTTATTTTTGAAAACTAGATCAAACATTTAGGACAAATGCTTTTCCTGTTTAAAACCCATACCTCCTCAGTGTTCAACTTGTGTATTCATGAGTAAATCTGGACAGTTGTACTTATCAGATGTTCACAAGTATCAGCTCATTGATTCTAAGAGTTCTATATCATAATTGTCACATTCTTGAAAGAGTAGACATGTCTAGAATAATTGCCACTACTTTGTCCACTGAGGATTGATTGGCTCAAACACATAGTTACAAAACAGTATTTTATTCATTCTTTAATAGTCTACCCTGGCTGAAATTCAACACACCCAGTTTAACCTAGGTGCAGAATTCTAGATTACACTGTGACTGTAACCTTACCTGTCTCGAGGATCATATATACCTGTTACACTCTACTGGTGGCATCTAAGGAATGGCACTTGCCTTGGATGCTAAATTTCTGCTTCCCACTGCCCTTGGAAAAGTGAGTTTGTATCAGAGAGGCTTCTGAATGCAAAAGGAAGAGACTTGCAGCTAAAACAAATCCACTCGACGGATTAGGATGTAGCCATTCTCTACAGTGATTTTTCTGTAACACCTCGTATTCAAATCTCTTTGTAGAGAGTGACTCTCTTTACAGAGGAAAATTCAAAACGGGATTTCCCACGTTGATATTTTGTAGGGATGCTCTTGTAATCAATGCCTCAGCTGCTTTTTAAGGCTCTTGTTGTACAGAGGGTGCAGCCCATTACGTTTTAATTAGTAGGCTGCTGAATAATGTTTTGTATGTTCTCAAATAACAATTTATTTTAATAGGTTTTTTTTTTTTTTAACACAATGCAAATTCCAGTGAAGAGCTGACAAGATGCTCCATAGGTCAGTGATTGGGGAGACTCTGTTAAACAACCTAATGACGCATTTATACGCCAGCTAATTTCTCTTGCCTTTAAAACTGGTGGTGACTCAATGGCATTTTTAGAAAGCAAGGGGCAGCCTATCTGTTCCAGAAACAGCACGTCAAAGATCTTTGTAAACCACTGTCTGACACTGATCCAGTGATACATGGCCACCTCTACCTGTGCTCACTGTAACTAGCATGGAATAGAATGTAAAGCCAAAAGTCACAGAGCAAGGGAAAGTCAAATGACTAAGCAGTTTTTCGGGCGAGTGCCTGGAATGGAAGAGTGGCTGTTTGCTGCCCATTGCCACCTGTGTGTCACGGCTCCCTGCAAGGGCTGTGTTTTGGGCTAACTTATTTGGGAGGTTGTTTTGTTAGTGATCATCTCTGTTCATTCGTGGGGCGGGGGAAGACACATGTAGAGTGATTGTCAGACTTAAAATATGCCTCTTTATCTCATTTTAAATGTCTTTGGTTCTGTCCACACCCATCTGTCAGCAAAGTCCATTCGCTGCTGACTTGATCACACACAAAAAGACTCCTGTGTGGAATGAAAACACAATCTCATCTGTCTTCTGTCACCTTGACGTACATGAAGGCGTCTCCACACCCGAAGGAGTGCCGTGTGAGGCAATAGGAGCGAAAGGGACACAGACGTGACGTGAAAGTCCCATCATGTTAAGGTGAAGGCCTGGCTTCAAATCTGCCTTCCCTTCCAGCTGAGGGCCGGCAGGGTCCTCCTGACCCGAGAGGCCCTCGCCTCTCACAGTCACTGTTCGTTCACAGTATTTCCCTTTGCCTTCCCAGGTGGAGAATATCATATGGTGGTCTGTGCTTTGTCTGTTTTTGTTTTTATTATTCCAAAATATTTTTTAAAGAAGTGTTATTTTTCAACCGATCCAGAAATCAGTTCTCAGTGTACAGTGAATTGAAACCATCACTGTGTCAGCCAAGCTGTGCTGTGATGAGCCGTAGCCACTCTTGTTAGCCCCTGTCCTCAGAGCTGCACAGTGGCTTATTGCTGGCTTTTAAAGGTATTTTTAACTTACATGTTTTTTTATTTTCTTATTTATGTGTCTTTAAAACCAATTAAACAGTAATTTAAAAGAACCCATGTATGTTTGCTTATTTCAGAGGTTAAATCCAATCTTTGGGTAGATAAACCCAGAGAACAATCTCATGAGCAAATGCTTTTTGTCATTGATTCTTTCAATTACTCAAACATTATTCCAGTTAAGTTTTTATTATTATGTATGGGGAGGTACACGCGACATGTTGCTTGTATGGCCAGAGGACAATATGGAGTCTGTTCTCCCTTAATGTGGGTTGTGGCCATTGACCTTGGGTCTTAAGACTTCCCCTCTGAGCCATCTCAATGGCCCGTAAGTGTTAAAAAAACAACAACTGAAACCACTCTAAGATGGTATGAAGATCTATTAGCCTACAACAGACTAATCATTTCAGAAGGCTTCAGTTTTCCTAGTTTGGAAGGAAGAGCCGACTTTAGGGCGCCCTGGCTACCTCTCTCCCACCATGCCTGTCCTGACTTGGCTTTTGCTTCTGAGAAGCTGTGCCGAGTTCTCACTGGATAAGCAGTTTCTCTATCACAGTGACTTGTCGGGCCTTCAGTGAGTTCTTGAGGTATTTTCTTGATTCTGCTGTGGGGGAAATATGTTAACTTTTATTTTTAAAAAATCATTTTATGTGTATGGTGTTTTGTCTGCACTACATGAGTGCCTTAGTTACCTTCCAAAGTATGTATGGCAGATCCTTTAAGGACTACATCACTGTCTAAGTGTAAAGGAGAAAGGGTCTTGGATGAGCTATGGTGTGTAGCATTGTGAGCAAAGCCTTAGAGCCCCCCTTGCTATCCCCACCCAGCACAAAGTGCCTGTGCAGTGGGGGATGGAGAGCTGGGGGAGTATGGATACTCCCATGAGGCCTCGGCTCCTCTTTGCTGGACTGGTATGCTGGGATAAGTGCCTATCTGGAGGGGGGAAAGAAAAAGCTAGGTCAAGGATTCTCCAGTGTGTTAGCCATAGTAGACTAGGAACAGCAGGAATTGAGAAATTTTTTTGCATGCAAGATGCTGACCTATTTAACAGTAATTTTCCCCCGGTTAGGAACAGGAATAGTGGGGAAATTGTTAGGCCTTTCATTGTTTAAAAGAAGCTCAAGCCTGTAGGCACAGAACACACCCGCATTCCCGCTGCTTGGTTTGAACAGATGTTCCTGCTTTTAGCACAGCAGACTCCTGTTTTTTCTTGAGGGCTAGGGA